GGAGGAGGAGGAGGAGGAGGAAGAAGGGGTGGGAGACGGTTGAGAGTACGGAGCCCTAAGACGACGCCAAGGGTGACGATGATGTTGACGACGACCCTGATGAAGATCATCATGATGACGATTGTGGTGGCGATATTTAGGATGATTGTGATGGGGGCACTGAGGGTGGTTGCCTTACCACTCCACCGTGCCATTCGGTTTCAGTGCGCAAATATGGACTGGCCTCCTCGGAGCTCACGCGCCGTGGTTCCTCCTGTCCCAGGTGTGGCCTAGCTTTGCTAAGCGCTCTGAGCCACACAAGCTATGGAAGCAGCGCAAGTCGAGGTTGATAAATCCTCTGGTTTGCGGCGCCGGGGCGTTCACTCAATGTTTCACCGACCAACTCGCCAGCACCTTCGCCGACCAGTTCGCCGATCCCCGCACCGACTAGATTGCGGCCGGCCGCACCGACCAGCCTGCCGGCTCCCTCATCGACTAGCTCACCGACTCCCAAGCCGTCCGGCTCGCCGACTTCACGCCGACCAGCTCACCGACTCCCGCACCGATTAGCTCATCGACGCCTGCGCCGACCGGTTCACCGATTCCCGCACAGACCAGCTCTCCGATTCCCGCACTGACCATCTCACCGACTCCTGCTTTGACTGAGGCGCAAGCACGACGTCATCGGGCACTGCAGGCACGACCAGTGCTATGACCACAAGAGCCGGCTCGTCCATCACTGTCACCAGTTCGGCGGATGGGCATGGGGCCAGCGTCACGACGTGAACGACCGCAAGCGACTATAATCCTGCTGACCTCCGCCGTGCTTCACAGACCGACTCCATCGACTGCATCACTGACCCCATCGGCACTGTGTCCCTGGGCTACATCACGACGGTTTTCATCGATGCGCCTACGCGGGCGCCAGCGCCTCCACCAGCGCCGGCGGCAGCACTGACGCCCGCACCAACGCCAGCGCCAACGTCAACACCAACCCTGCAGTGCTTTCTGCGGTACGCCTTTGGTCCAGACGTCCCGCCGAAGTACTCCGCGGTGCCTGCGCCGACACCAACGCCGGCCACTACGCCAGTGACGACGCCAGCACCGACGCCCGCACTGACGACAGCGCGGCCTGGTTCTACTTTGTTGCGTCCTTGATGGGCGGGAGGGCGTACGTCTTGGGCCAGGGGTCATCGGCATGAAGCTCTGAGCACGGCCTGCAAGTTGTTCCAGAATATTCCCCCCTGATTTTCTCTCTTTTCTTTTCCTTGGCTCCGTTAGGTTTTTTCCATTGAATTGGGGGCTTCGTCTCCCGCCCTGTGCAACGGCGGACCTCCTGCCTGGCCACTGGCGCTCGACCCCGACAACTGTGCCGGGCTCGTCCTTCTGCTGGCGCCATTGCAATACATTGATCATTACTGGCCTTGCTTCTTTTCCGCTGTAGTTGTAGTTCTCTTGTCCTCTGCTCTCTCTCTCTCTGCTGCTTGTGGCTCCATTTCTGTGTGAGGCACCACTGACATGGGCGTCAGCGGGGATACATACACATTGTACTGCAGCCTCCGCGGATCTGCGGCCGTTTGCTCTTTCCTCCGTTTCAGGCTGTAGCGCAGCTTCGCTGACGTGTATTACAGGCATTGAAGCTGAGGTGGTCAGATGTTTTGCGGTGAAGAAAAAATCCTGTCCCAGGTGTGCTTTCCAGGCCCTGGTGCAGGGCCCCATGGCCTGCCACATGGACCTGTCGGGCACGTGCGCTCAACAGCTCACGCCAGCGGCTGCGGACAAGGTCCGCCAGGGTGAACGCGAGAGGGGCCACACCTGCACATGCCAGACCCGCAGATGTGGACGTCGGAGGGCGTTGCTCTGTGGCACATGTGGACGCACCATTCTATGGGGTAGTGCGGAAGCACCGTGGAGCCGGGAGCACCCGCCAATCGTTTCAATACTTTGGTTGCTCTTTGCAGTACCTCCTCCTCGCACTGGTCTTCAGGTGCCTCGCGCTGCTCGACGATGCCCTGGATGTCCGCGTCATGCTTCCAGGTATGGCGTCCATTCGCTTGGCAGGAGCCGACTCTCATTACTCTCTTGGGAGAGTGACGGGTCCGAGTAGATTACACCAGCCATTGATTCCTTTTACGCTCGTCTCCTTCTCCTTTTCTGGATAGCCTGCGTGCAGCGTGGACGCGTGGGCGGCGGTATTGGCGACAGGTTTCCCGGCTAGGACAGAGCCGGTGCAAGCCCGACCCCGCCTGCCGGGCTGATGATGGGACAGGGTGTCTTCTTATGGACGCCGTCCCTCCTCCTTCTTGTCTTTTCTTGCTTGGGCACACCCGTCTGCCCCGCAGGTGCCTGCTTCGGCTCCGTGTTTGCAGTGGGGTCTTTCTCTCCTGTCCTTCTGGTCGTCCTCGTGCGGCCGCGTACCCCCCTCCCAGGCCGAGCCATCTTTGCGCCCTTGCACACCTTCGGCGTGCCCGCGAAGGACCTCACGTTCTGAGTGGCTCCCGCCTGTGTGCGCCCTGCCCTGCGTCCCTGTCCGCTTTCAGTGCCCCAGTTCGTTCCCGGCGTGTCCCGCCCGTAAGGCGACGGGCGCCTGCAGCAGCTTCGACCCGCTTGCGCCCGCTGACTAAAAAGGTTCAGCATGGTGAAGCTCCCTTCCGCTCGGTGGGTTAGCCTGGGCGAGGCGCGCGCGAGGGAAGGTACCGATCCGCTGGAAATGCGAATCGATGATGCCCTCGCCACACTGCATGCGCATCTATGAGAGCCTGGCGCGCTCCTCCTCCTCCTCCTCCTCCTCCTTCTCCTCCTCCTCTTCCTCCTCCGCCTCCTCCTCCTCCTCCTCCTCCTCCTCCTCCTCCTCCTCCTCCCCCCTGCTTCGAACACCTGACGATGCGGCCGCTCGGCCACGCCTTGTGAGCTGCGTTAGATACCGCTGCTTGATCATGGCGTGGCCGCCAGACGTTGCCACAGATGGCTTCCAGGTGGATGCAGAACTGCGCCAGAAGATTGCTCAGCGCATCCTCTGCCCCATCTGCATCGGCCTCCTCAACTTCGTCGTCCAGGGGGGGGGGCCTCTCGCCCCTGGCGCCCCGCAGGGCAGGAGGCATAGGCGGAACTTGCTCGCCCGACCTTGCGCCGCCAGCGCCACGCGGTTTGACCCGTTGGTTTCTTTCTCCTCGCTCTCCACGTTTTTTTCTTTTCTTTCCCGGCACGAGTTGCCAGTCACCGCCCCGACGTGTGGCTGTCTTGCTCTCCTTGCCCACAGGTCTTTTTCTTATGTTCCTTCTTCTTCTTGTTCTTCTTCTTCTTGTTCTTCTTCTTGTCATTTAATAATAGTACTAAGTATTATTAGTAGTATTCGTTTTATTCGTATCATTCGTATCCTTATTCTTTTCTTCGTCTTCTTCTCCACGCCGATTTGCCTGCCTGATCCACGCCCCAGTCAAGTATCGCCACCACTGCGTCATCGCCTTCGCATTCATGTTGAACAGTGGCCTGAACGCGGCAGCAGAGCGGATTTCTTGATTGCGCTAATGGGAAGCCGTACCAGGTCTGCCCTTGGGGGCCATGTGAAGTTGAGGTTAGCACGAAGGATGAGGTCGACCCGAAACGCCACCCGCCGCTCCCAGAAAACGTCCCAATAGTTGAGAGGGAACAGCACTGCCGACAGACAGTAAGGATGCACGGAACCTCCCTTCGCTCCCTTTGTCCTGCTGCTCTTCATCCTCGCCCGCGGAGTCTGTGCGTTCTTTCCCCTGCGAGACTCTGTCGCGCATCGGTCGAGGGGAAAGTCAGTGGATTCCGAGTCTGTCCTTCAGGCCGCCACCGTCATGGTCATGGGACTCCGTTGTCTCTGCCATGGGTCTTGCCTGATATCCCCGTGGGCTGCCCCTGGGCCCCGCTGCGTCGTGAGGGTGCCGCCGCTGGCCTTCGGCTCCAAATTGTACTGCTCTTTGGGGCGGCTGGCCACCGTTTGGACCAGACTTTGGCAGACGCCTGGCCACTATCTGAAACCGTCTAAGCGCGTGCTTTTGCGGGGTACTCGCGCCGAGGGGGCGCTCTCGCCAAGTCCCGCGCCTGGTCCAAGCTGGGGCTGCGTGCCAGCCGGGGCGCTCTCTGCAGACTCGTGCAGTAGATGCGGGTGGCCGGGGCCAGCCGAGCAGTTGCCGGTGTTACGTGTACGAACTGAACTTGACTGCGCCGCGATCCGGCCTAGCCTGGCTTTCCGCTCCTGCGGGAGGATCCTTCGCGCAACGATGCGATGGGTGAATACCACAGCGGCAGAGATCTGGCAAGCCGTGCTGTCGAGAAGGTGTCTGCAAACGTCGAGAAGGCGGTCAGATAGCAACCTTGGCATCTGCGTGCGGAGGTACGGGATCTCGCAGCCAGCTGCTCCAAGGCACCCAAGGGCGGGCTGAACGCCCACGCTCGACGCCCGCTGGCCGCCGCTGCGTCTGGTGTCCGCCTCTACGGCTGTGGCGGAGGCCATCCACTGCTGTCTGCTCGTGGGGACAGCGATGCACGTGCCGCGGCGAAGGACAGACGGCGGTGTGCCAATGCAACTTCGCCGCTGCCGGCCGCAGCCGCCCCGTCCGCTCAGCCCGTGTCGCAGCCGTCTGCCCCGGGGCAGCCAGCAGCGGTTGAGGCGCGTCGCCCGACGCGGGCCCGCTTGGCCTTGGCAGCGCGGTGCTCAAGCATGCCTGCGGTTGTGGCGGAGGCCGTCTTGCGTTTGGCGGTGACGGGGGCCTGTGATCACAGTGGCGGTGGCTGGTGACCGCAGCACCGTGGTGCCCAGCGCGCTTCGGCGAATGCGTCCACGACGCCCCTGTTGGCGGGGTGTCTACGACGGGGGCGATTGCGGCGGAGGCCGTGCTGCTTTGGACATCGCGTGTGCCGCGGGGCACGCGCCACGGTGGGGGAAGGGGTGGCAGAGAAGTAGGTTGGTTTTGATGGCGATTCTGACGACGACGGTAATAATGACGCACTGCAGTGAAGACGGCGACGAAAATGATCATAACGAATAGAAGGCGCCTACGCCTTCTTCGGCCTCCTGCTGCGGCCGGGCGTTCGATGGGACCGAGAAGTTCTGCCCCCTGTGCGGGAATCCGAGGGAAATTGCGGCCAACATGCTGAACATGAGCATGAACTCGCGCACGTCGGCCACTCCGGCGGAGGGACCGAGGAGGGAGGATGGGGGAGGTGGGGGGGGGAGAGAGCGATGGACAGGAGAGAATCTGGGAGGGAAGAGGGGAGAGGTCGCGGGAGAGAGAGGGAGGGGGAGGGAGGGAAAAAGAAAGAGGTAGGGAAGGGGTGGGGAGGGAGGGAATTTGAGGGAGAGAGAGGGACGGAGAGGGAGGGAGTTGGACAGAGACGTATGCATTTATGCACGTATACATATACACATGTACACGTCTGCCTGTGTGCTAGGGGCCATCGCTGAGATCCATTTTAGAACGTTTTTTCCTGCTCATGCATGCTTGTTATAAGAGTTAAGGAAGGTCAGCTTCAGCCAATGCGCAGATTAAACAGTTGCCGTCGGACATGTGCGCTATCTTTGCGCACCTGGCCTGTGGTGCAGCGCTTTTTGGGCCACCTGCACCAAAGCATTTCACTTGTCTTTGAAACTAAGTCCTGCCCCGTGTGCCAGTAGGCCCACTGGGCGGAGTGCACGCGGGCATCAAGCTGCTTCTCAGAAGAACCAGGAGCCGATCTCGACCCCACGTGATCCCGCACGTGCCTCCAGCAACGGTCGATGATCTGCGTGCCGCCTTTCGAGTGAACGACCTTGCCGTCGATGGAGTGCGAGAAAAGCTGTATGTATCTGGGGCGATGGTACTTACCATTCGACTGTTTGTTCGGCCTGTGAACCACGTAGTCATGGACAATTTTCCGCAAGAAAGTTCTGCCGTTCATCCCAGGCTTGTAGGATCGAGCCCCGTCGGTGTGCAACAACATCTGCCGCCCTTCCAACCATGTCTTTGCCATGGGAACCCAATCCGTTTTTCAAGGCTTCTAACCCTTTGGGTTTCATGGTTGCCACAGGAAAACTAATGAAAACCAGCCGTTTCCCATTTTTTCCAGCAGAAGCCAAGGAACACCTTTGTTTTCCATTGGTTTCCGTTTGGGGACTACGAAAACCAAAGGTTGTTGTTTTAGGTTTTCAGGGGGAAACTGTTGGAATCGTTTTTTTTCTTTGCTTTGGTGGTCTGATGTTGTTGGTTTTCGCTTTGTTTTGACTGGCTCATTGTTTTGTTGGTTTTTGCTTCGTTCCCCCCTTCATCGCCGCGTGCCTGTGCTCTGGCCGAAAGGGTGATCCTGCTCGCTCGTTTCCCGTAGCGGCTTCTGTCCCCTCGCGTGCACGGAGCCAGTTGTCATCAGCCGTGAGGCCTTGAAGCAAGGGTGCCGACCCAGGGCCGACACGCCGAACACCAACAAAAACATATACATCAGTCAAAACAAAGCGAAAACCAGTAACATCTGACCACCAAGGCAACACAATCAACACAACCAATGGTTTTCAAGAGTTTTCGAATGAAAACCTTGAGAAACCTTTGGCTTTCATAGGTTTCTATGTCGGGACCGATGGAATCCAATGGTTTCTCAATGTTTTCCTTTTAACTGTAGGAGAGCCGTTGCTTTTCATTCATTCGCTTGGAAACGATTGAAATCCAAAGGTTCCCCACTATTTCCGACCAAATCTGCAATGAACATTTTTGGTTTTCATGAATTTCCAACTGACAACGTATACAAAAAACGCAGGTTTCCCAATGTTCTCCAGCACACACCACGAACAACTTGTGTTTTTTCCATATATTTTCGTTTGGGAAGTGTTGAACACCAAAGGTGTTCCAAGGTTTTCATTCGGAAGCTGCTGAAAACCATTTGCTGTGTTGAGTTTTTTTTGCTTTGGTGGTCAGAGTGTATTGGGTTTCGTTTTGTTTTGGCTGATTTATAGGTTTTTGCTGTCTTTTGCTTCTTTCGCCCTTCCACGAGGGCCAAGTGGGCTTCAAGAGGAGTCCGATTGTAATCTCCCTCGCATGGAATTTTATTGCAATCGTCCCAAATGGAATCCCATTGGAGATATCCTCAGAAGGAGTCCTAGTGTAATCCGCCTCGGAAAAAAGAAAACCAGTTGAATGCGAGCCTTTTTTTGATTCGCGGGTCGAGAGCGCACCTCGTCCGGTCGAAGCTAATGTTGAGTGCGAACAAGCCATGCACACAAGAAATGCAGCTGTTAAGACAAAATCAAACACAACATTTTGAAATGGATGACAACGTTGCCAAAACAAAGGTAAACTACATCAGAAGAAACAGCTTCAGTTGGATTTCAGCGGGGGCCCTTACCATTTCTCTCTCTCTCTCTATATATATATACACATACGGTCCCGCTTATAATTAAGAGACCTCCCCCCGAAAAGCTGGCCCAGCGTTTGTCAACCAACTTGCCAGAAAGCTGGCGCAGTTTCTTAAGGTGATTGGTAGCCATGGATCCTGGGAATAAATAGTGTACGTTCCTGGCTCCAAAAGCTGGCCCGGCGTTTCCTTCAGAAATTCATGAAAAGCTGGTCCAGCTTTCTGAATTGATAACTTTCTTAATCATATGTTTGACTGTATGTATAAAACTATATACATACATGTATGTATACATACAGAGAGAGAGGGAAAGAGAGAGAGGGAAAGAGAGAGAGGGCGATATATATACACACATATATATATATACAAGACTGCAGTGGCGCTTCGCGCCATGCACCTTGGTCCTTGAAGTTTGGTATGCAGGCGGACTAGCGGGAAGGTCAAGCCGACAATTTAGCGATAACTCCTTTTCCGGCGTCGCCGCTATAATCATGTTATTCGTTATCCTCCCTCCGTGCTTCTTATTTCCTAATTTTCGCCATGCCCTGCGCATTCTCTCCATCCTCCTCAGCTCTTTTTGCGGAGGCTCCTCCTTGGAGAGCCTCTGGGGGCCTCATGGGCGTGTTCTGGAGGCTTTCTTAAGGCCTTCTGGAGGCCTCCTGGGAGTGTTCTGGGGGTTTCTGGGGGTTTGTCGGGCCACCCTGCCTCCAACCGCGGTCTCCCTGAACGACCGGGTCACGATTTGGAATGCTTCGGAGGGTGTCTTAGGGCCATCTTGGGCCGCCATGGGGCTCCCTGAGGGCCATCTTGGACCCCTGTTGTGCCGTTTTGGGGCTCTCTTGGACTGCTGGGAAGCCCTTTCGGATGGTTGTGGGGCGACTTTGGAGCCTCCCAGGCGGCTTCGGACGCCCAGAACACCGCCGTCTTGGAGCGTCGGGAAGCCGAAAAGAGGAGAACCCCCAAATGAGCCATAAACCAACAAAATCAATGATTTTCGCCTCTTGGGGCCTTCTTGGGAGTGCTCTTGGAGGCCTCTTGGGACGTTTCGGGACGATCTTTTGGGGTATGACGGCTTCTTGGGGGTCGTCGTCGATCGTATTGGGGCTCTCTGGGGTCGTTTCGGGAGCGCGCCACGTCCTGCGAGGCCCTGGGGGCCGCTTCGAGGCCCGTCCGGAGGGTCCCTAAGCCCCAGATCCCGGGAGTCCGGTTTTTTTTGGGGGGGGATGGGTGGGTTTTCCCCCCGGGCGGGCTTGTAAAAACATAGAAAGAGGAATCTACACACATATATATATATAGATAGAGAGAGAGAGAGAGAGAGAGAGAGATAAAGAGTAAGTGTGAGAGAAACACACACTTATATGCACGTAAGTATGTGTGTATGTTTGTGTGTACGCATGCATGCATGTCTGTCTGTCTGTCTGTCTGTCTGTCTGTCTGTCTGTCTGTCTGTCTGTCTGTCTGTCTGTCTGTCTGTCTGTCTGTGTGTCTGTATGTTTGTATGTATGTATGTGTTTGTATACAGAGAGAGAGAGAGAGAGGGAGAGAGCGAGAGAGGGAGAGAGAGAGGGAGAGAGAAAATGAGGGAAAGAGAGAGAGAGAGAGAGAAACACACACACACACACACATATATATATATATATTATATAATATATATATATATATATATATCTAGAGAGAGAGAGAGAGAGAGAAAGCAAGAGAGAAAGAGAGAGAGAGAGAGAAAGAAGGAGAGAGAGAGAGAGACACACACCAAAACACGAATGGAGGCAAACGGAGGGCGAGGGAGCGTTCCGAGGGTCCCCAGGCTTTCACCCAGATGTTTTCGAAGTGTCATGGGAAGGCTTCAGGCCTTGCGGACCCCCCGGGTACCGCTCTCGGGGCTCAGGGGACGGGGGTCAGTGCAAAGGGTGTTTAGCCAAGGCAGCGGATATTGCAGGATCCTGCAGGACAAGGGGCGCACTGACACGGGCTAGCGTGCAGGATCGCACAGGAGAGTGCAGGATCTTGCAGGATCCTGCAAGGCCTGACTGACCCAGGTTTGCGTTGACCAGGCCCCAGACCCCAGACGCCATGTTTTTTTTTGGTTTGTCCAACAAAAATGAAACGTCGACTCCATGGGCCTGGACTCCTTCCCTGGGACCGGTTTCTGCTTCTGAATCGTTTCTGCAGTCCCGAGGCCTGGTAGGGGCCCCCGGAGGCCGAAAATAACGAAAACCTTCCCGCCATCATTTTCTCATGACCCCAGGGCTTCTGGGGCCGCTCACTTCGACCCCCGCCGTGGTCGAACTTCGGCCCGCGAGGACGGCCCAGAGGGGAGCCCCAGAGCCACCGGAGGGAGGCACGCGCCCGCCTCGACGCCTCGGGCACCGGCGGCCTCCCCCTCCCTCCCAGCCTCGGCTCCAGAGGTCTGCGGTGGCCCACCGTGCCGAGCTGTCGAGATCGCAGCATCGGCGGCGAGCGATGGGCCCAGACCCCCTGGAGTCGCGAAAAAATGGGAACGGGAGGGGTTTTCACCGTTTTCGGCCTCCGGGGGCCCCTACCAGGCCTCGGGACTGTCAAACAACGATTCAGGATGAGAAACCAGTCCCGGGGAAGGGGTCCAGACCTCTGGGGGTCGACGTTGCCAAAAACATGACGGGGGGGTCTGGGGGGGAGGTGAGAAGGAGGAGGCCCTCTCCGAAGGCGGCGGGGCGGCTTCTCAGAGGCCCTCGGGCCTTCTGAGAAGTTTGCTGTGTCTTCCGGGAAGGCTCAGGAAACTTCTCAGAAGCCGGAGGACTTCTGAGCCTTCTGAGAAAGCCCGCTCCTT